AAATTCGATCTGGATAGAAGCGGGTGCGGGTGCATCACCGCCTGTTAGTTGCCGTTTGACTATCGCCACTTTTCCAAAATCGAACAGTATGGACCATTGAGCAATTCCGATCGTATTTGTGTAGGCAATGCCACGTTAAGCGTTGCGTCTAATAAACAAAAAAAAATTATATATATAGTATATATATATATCTGATTTCTGTTTGGGCCACTTTTACTAACGCGTTATTGACAGTTGATTTGGCTAAGTGAATCCAAGTAAGCGTTTTGCACCGCCAGACGCGTTTGATTCTCTCTCGATTATGATCGAATAGAAAGAATTCTCTGGTTATCGCAATTGTCAATGAACATATATAGGACTTTTTAATATAGCTTCATGAATAACGCACACTATACTGCACGATCACATATAAAAACCTACGTTTGTACAGTTAATAATCATCTGCGCGTGATATCCGTATGCTCACTGTATTTGAAGCAAATAGAATCAGGACGGCTGCTCCCCAAATGAAGCTGGCACATGATATCAATGCGCGTGAGTTTCCCTTCGAATCTGAATGTGCAGTAATATATATATTTTTTTCTCATCCTCGTCTATGCTAGTGGAGTTTTGATTTATAAATTGTACTGTTTTCCATAACTGGTTCCGCAATTGCGAAGCTTTGATAATTTATCTAACCGTTCGATGTCGATGATTCCTAAGAATGATTGTTTTATTAAATAAAGGCTTACAATTTTTTCAGAATTAGGAATGAGTTAGAACGTCCTGTTGATGTTGTTGTGTGTGCTGTATATATTGACTTTGTCATTTTTTGTTGAGTAATTTCCTCGTTTGGCCAGCGTGTCGCACATGGGATATAACGCTGTACAACGCATTGCATTCTTCTGAAAAACTATATGTTTATAATAGTATTTATAATATGTTTATAATCATATTTATAATATGATAGTAAAGTTGACTAGTAGGTGCCTTCTTCTCTATGGTATGTGTGCTAGATCCAAGAATGTTCGATCGTGTCTGGTAAAATTCAGTGGTAAAAATTTGCTTTTAAAGGTCGATCTTCTTCCGCATGATAGACAGGCAGATGGTCTTTCATATAGTTTCATTTTTCTATTTTTAGCACCATTCGTTCTTGGTTCATCTCTAATTTAGTTATCGATACCAACAGACATAAAACCTTTACGCCAACAGCTATAGTTGAGCAAGGATCACGACCTTGGCGCCGTCTGACTACAATATGATTCTCCTCAACGATCGGGACACGTAATGAGGAATCTCATTTAGCTTCAAACAAGTTATGTACATGCAAAGCTTATTATATCTTTCTGTACAGGGAAAAGCGGAAACGCTCTTTAAAGTTACTTCTTCCATATCATAGCAGTAATGCAAAAATGATTAAAGTGGTGTACTGAAGCATAATATTAAGAAACATTTTTAGATTTGCTAATTAAACATTTAGTCGATGAATTAATTTATATATAAAATACAAGAAGAGCTCTAAGAACTATGAACACTAATCAGTTAGCATCTGAAAAGGCGCAAAAAAGTTCCTGCGGCAGACTGTTTCTAGTACAAAGTAGAATTTGAGGCTGAAGTGAACCACATTTCAGTGATTTTGGACATCGTCGAAACAAGTAGCCACAAGATTCGGTCAGGGCGTAGTCTTTAGACACAAAAAGAATTGTCAGTTCTATCGGTATAAATGGACCGAAAAGAGAACAGTTCTTTAAACGAATACAATGCGCCAGTAGGACAAACAAGAGAGTAGCTACGTACGTATATTTACAAGTTGGACGGCTTAAGGAACAGGCCAAAAGCCAGCCCTTCAATACGCCAGGCTAAGATCAATTTGAATTGCTAAAAATTTAATGGGAAAGCTGTATCCGTATTATACCACCCCCATAGTAGGCGTTAAGAAAAATAGGTGCATGAATAGTAGTATAATCTGTTCTCAACTAATGGGAGGAACTATGGAGGCTGCTATGGTCTGATTTGTCTTGGCTAGAATATAGTGTTTTGTTCCCAGATAACAACATTTCAGTTTTATTAAATCGTACCTTTCGGGCTTTAGGTCAACTGTCGGTGATGGGTATTGCAAGACAAAATTCTACTATCAGTCCACCGAATTCTGTAACTATGCTCATAAGGGAGTCTCTAAAAATGTTAAAACTGCCATCCACATTAATTTTGATTCCATGTCGAAACCAGATTTGATGGTACGATTCCTCTGAGAGGCCTTTTCGCAATCTAAAAATATCACATGCAGCTTGAAAAAGATATTGGAAACAGCAAACATGATCATTTCACACTGATGCCTGTTTTTCGCCATCGAAACTATTCCGGGGAGGCTCGTAACAGAAGACCCAAATCTATGACACTTTATGTTTTCTGTGCAATGGCGGCATGAGCCGAACTAGAAAAGTAAGCAGAACGGCCCTGCGAAAACTCCCTTATCAGTCCAAGCAAACGTGACGAAAGCAATGTTTAGAGAACTGGGAGAATCGTTAATGCGATGTTCATAATATACAATTAATGAAATGGAAAAATGTAGAGAGTTTGCCTTCCATTTTCCTTTTATAATTTCGTCTTTTCAGGTGCTTCCTGATTAGAATTGTATTAACTCTTTTGTACATACAGTTATTCTGTATTTCCACGTCTATTGTTAGATCTACATAACTGTTTATTAGTCACAGGGGTCGATAGGAGTCCGAGCTATGAAATACAAAGTTTTTTCTATTTGTAGGATAGTGTCTTTTGTAAATTCATTGAGTTCTAAGCACTAATTAGCCGTTTGGTAACGATTAAGCTTTCATCATACAGTAGCTTGTGTCAGAAAAATTTACCGCACCTTCAACTTTACTAAAGGGATCGTAATGTTTTAATATTGCCCTGGTGTCAATTCCATTTATTTCTCTGTTTTTTGTACACTGGACCCAGAAGAGCGGGAACTATTCGGTGAGTTAGCTGAATAAAACTGCATCTTGATTTGAACAGAAAGAAATATACGCGCTGCAGACAGAATAATTATACACCTGAATTCTTAGTACGCGGTACTATAGTAGCCAATTTTGTCATTCATTCTTGCTTTGAGATAACAGATACATATGTGTATCTATATATATATATATATATATTGACATATTACAGGTCATCAGTTTATAGAACCGATGCAAGACGGGCCGAAATCCAAAATATACGTAAATCACACTTATCGTATGATATTGGGATTCGAATGGTAATTTTAGCGTTCTGGATGAGATTTTGCACCTACATAAATAATCAATTGCTAAAACGCTTAAAGTGAATACGAGCGGTCAGTTCCGCCGGAAGATACGACAAGGTACTTTATTTTTTGAGTTTATGTCTCACTATATACGGGTTTTCAGCGGTTCGATGGCATCCTTCATGGTTACCTCTCTTGATTTCCGCAAATAGACACACTTCTATGACTGGCGCAAAGAGATAGAAAAGGTAGCAGGTTAACATCTGTTTTACTTCCATAGTAAAGAAGAAGTTATCGTCATACTTTCATTTCTACTATTAGTCTTTGATATTTGCAGCAATTGTGTGACAAGGTACATTTGTCCTGTTTCTGATTTCTTTCTCAGTTTGAATCTGTTAAATCCTACTAATTTAAAAAAGAATTGGAATCAAATTGAGGACTACAGGAAACTGCCATCATTTTACAGCGTTTATAGCTCTTCGTAAAGCCACGTATTATTCTACGCATAAACACTGCACAATAAGGCATATTCGAATGCATCATTTAGGGCCAGATTTTTAATTAAACAAAATGGCGAGCTCCGACTTGGTTTGAAGCCCTTCCGATCACTTAATGCGGCCACTATTACACATCTCGAATGTCATATGACGAACGAACCTACATTGAGAATCTAGGTTTTCCAACCCAGGATTTTAAATGACTGTAATAGTCGCCAAGTCCATTTGTAGGTATTTGTTTGGAATGAAATCCTCGTAAATATGTGATAATTCTACTGTGCATTTTCTGCTCTAGCCCTAGATATGGGTCATACGTTTTTATGCTTCCTCATTCAATTAAGGTAAGTGGTGGCAGTGTTCGTGATGGGGTATAGCAATTAATTAGCGTTTTTCTCCACTTCTGACCCCCCAAAAAAATAAAAATGACGAGAATTGCATGAAGCTGATATATCTATCGAGTGTAACGGGAGATCATTCGGAAGAGTATATTTTAGCTAATGCGCATCTGTATTTCAATCTGCTATTCTCATTTTACCCAACACGCTGAACTTATTCTGAAAATTGAAAAGATTGTTATAACAAAATGGAAGACGAACGGCTGTTGGCGTGCACGCTCAAAGTGAAGGCCGAATGTCCTTTACGTCAGAGAGAGAGTGCTCCACACAGATGAATAGATTTCATTGATTTTAGATCTTAATGAATTGCTAAGTAGGGACTGAGTGACGCTACGATCATTTCTTTATAATTGACATTGTATTATTAGCCGGTTTGCTCGTACTTATAGAAACAAGTCGACCGACATATCATACATACTGTCTAAATGCCTTAGCTCGTTTTGGATGTTGACCCACGTTGGAAAGTTTCTGAAATGTACGAAGTTACAATGTGAATGTAACGTCTTATTCCACTGCGTTAAACGGCATGGCACTAAAATCGTCACTATCACACGAGAAGAGTCTTTTATATATGTTACTGAAGCTATTACCGACTTCACATGGAACATGTCATCAGTTTCCTTGAACTAGTTACGAAGTACACAATATGATTAATTTAAAAAATTCTGAAAAAAAATTAATTTAAAAAACGTCTGATTCTTTTTTAATGAATTAAATTATATTGCAACGCATGATTCCCATCGAGCTTTGAATATTATGTCGTCTATATAATAGGACAATGAATTATTCGAGTCCGCTCTAATTTGGATTCCACGCAAGAACACTGACATGCCGAAACTGCGCTTAAAAGACCAACGCCAAGTAAAAATGCAGATACATTAGAATAAGGAAAAATTTCATATGAATTATTGTGATATCGAGGCTTAGTTTTGATCAATCTCAACGAATGACGATGTCGGAGCTGGCTAACAAGAAACTTGAAACAAAAGGATTAGTCAGTACGGTACACGAACTTGATAACAAAGCAAAGAGTAACACAGACATGTGTCGTGCATAAAGCCATTTCAATGATTTTTAAGTCCAACTTGTTTCATATACGATATTCTAATCCTACATACAACGACTTGTCGTTTTGCGCGTAGGTTGACAGCAGCCTAGGACTTTCTGGCCAAAACCAACCCTTCAAGCTCCCTTCAAGCTACCTGTCGTGGGATGTTACACTGACAAACAAACGTCAGTCTTGAAACGAGTATCTCTTTCAGAAAATTTTTGGAAGCAGCAGTTTGCCATAACATCGCTTCGAATTGCATTGAGCTATCTGATAAGCGTTTAATCAAGATTGAACTTAGGAGAAGGAGAGCAGATTTTAAATCAATTACTTCCCGTAAGAGTTATACGTTGAAAGACCTTAACAACGCATGTCAGTAAGTTATATTTCATGTTGTTCGAAATAGCCTAACCAGATGGGACGCGATTCATCTGTAACGCCAGCCACGACTGAAGCTGTACGAAATGGCAGTGACGCAGTTTCAATATCGGACGAGAATTCACTATGTGAACGAGGATACCAAAGTAAGGCATGCGCATTCAACAATTTGATCACCAATGAGGCTTGGTTAGTCAATCCACGGCAAGCCGGCATAGTAAACGAATCAAGGGTTCTCGTACTGTATACAGGTGGTACAATTGGGATGCTGAAAGATAAGAACGGCGTCCTAAAGCCCGCACCCGCTCTACTAGAAGCAAAGATTCGATCGTTCCCACAATTACATGACGCTGAGTATGCCGCCTCCATGTTTGTAGGCTGTAAACGTCCACCACTTGTAGTCCCGTATACCGGCAGTACTATTCGCGTTCTGTACACGATATACGAATACAGACCTCTGCTTGATTCATCAAACATGACGATGGCAGAATGGATACGGATATCTCTAGACATACAGAAGTATTATACGACTTTTGATGGCTTCGTAATTCTTCATGGAACTGATACGATGTCATACACAGCATCTGCCCTGAGCTTTCTATTGGAAAACCTCGGAAAGAGTGTCGTCTTAACAGGTTCACAACTTCCACTGCTTGAGCCACGTAGCGATGGGCGAGAGAATCTTCTCAATGCGTTACTTTTTGCAGGCACATATATTATTCCAGAAGTTACTCTCTTCTTCAACAACCGCTTATTACGAGGCAACAGAACTTTGAAATACTCGGCGGCTTGTTTAGATGCATTTCGAAGCCCGAACATGGCTCCTCTAGCTACGGTTGGTATTAATGTCAACGTCAATTGGAAAACCGTGATGGCGCCGTCCTCACTAAAAAAATTTCGGGTTCACCCGATGCTTAGTGAAGAAGTCGGCATCTTGCGTTTGTTTCCTTCAATAACTTCCGAAATAGTGCAGGCTTTTCTTGCTCCGCCGATCAAAGGGGTAATTTTACACACATATGGCGCTGGAAATGGGCCAACAGCTCAAAAGGGTCTCCTGGCCGCGATTCAAGAAGCGTCCGATCGAGGCGTTATTATAGTAAACTGCTCACAGTGTCCTAACGGACATGTTGAGAGTGCATACGAGACCGGTAATGCTCTAACTCAAGCAGGTGTTATTCCTGGGGCGGATATGACGCCAGAAGCAGCTCTGGCTAAATTAAGTTACGTCCTTAGCAAGAAAGAATGGTCCCTCGCTATTAAAAAAGAAAAGATGCAAACCAACCTTCGAGGTGAGCTCACAGTCATCAACCACACGCTGAGGGAATCGAAGCTAATTTCGGCCATAGGGAAGATTATGAATGTTTCGTCATTCGAAGAACTCGAAGCTCTAAAGACCGCCATCTTACCGTCAATACTGTGTTCGATCGCTGCAAAGGACGATTGTGAACGCCTTGAAGTGATGAGGCAGTGCGGAGCATATCTTTCATCATATGATTATGACTACCGAACGCCGCTGCATGTCGCTGTATCCCAGGGAAACTTTGCAGCCACTAAATACCTACTCAAACAGGGCGCGTCAGTTCACATGTATGACCGGGATCGAAGGAATCCCTTAGACGTCGCCGTGGCGCATAACCACTATGATATTATAGATCTGCTCGTTCGCTGCGGAGCCCACTTATCTCTACTGGCAGAAACCCTGGCTGAGGCAATGAATTCGGCCGCATGCCGGGGCGATATCCGTCGATTAGAAAGCTTTCGTCGGGCTGGAGCCAATTTCACCGAAAAAGACTTAAGTGGAAGGACAATAGGACACGTTGCAGCTGAATGCAATCAGCTAGATGTTTTTGAGTACCTTTTCAAGCACGAACTTTACGTGGCAACGACTGACGTATACGGTCATACACCGAAGGATGTGGCGACAATCCTTGGACACCAGGAAATTCAGAGGTTGATCGAAATTCGAACTCCAAGAGGTGAAGCCGTTGACGACAGCTTTGGCGGATGTTTTCTAAACCGATAGGTTCTACCTTTGTTCCTTGTAGCTTGTGTACTACTAATAATATTGTATACTTTTTGTTGTAGTAGAGTACTATTGAGTACATTACGTTCATCTGAATGTATATAAACTTTTTTTTTTTTTTTTATATATAATAGTTATAATGGATTCGAGAAATGAAAGAAATTAAACTGTACTAAACATCAAGATCTGTAGAATCTGCGGTTGTAAATACACCCTGCTGGTTGGCACACAGTTTATTGATTTCTTATTCTGGGTGCGGGGAAACGTAGAAACACCTGGAAGCAGGAAATGCACTGATTAATATAGGTAGACATTGCCTGAGCACTTGCTATATGGACTATTGAAAACTTTGTATTCCATTTTTGCGTCGGCTTGAATCTGAAGGGCAGTCTTGTTTTGCGTTATGTATTCGGAATATATTTATAATATATACAATGCCGGCTGCCGGGTAAATGGGATTGGCACCAGAGGTCAACGACAGAGATTTCTTTAGCTTAGAGTCGGAGCTAGAACTTTTAAGTTTGTATGCAACAGACTTCACCACAGTGGCGGCTTTATCGCGGCTCTGCGGAAAATTAAGTTATCTGTTTATGTTTATCAAACACTGTAGTTGCAGCTCTTTTACAAATTAAGTTACGAAACTTGTTCCAAACAGCGAAACGCCTCTTTTACCCTGAACGTGTATATAATATACCCATTGCTCACGCGAGTATCAAATAATTTAAATTGTATTGATTCGTTCGAAAACGATTCGTTCGATGAAACAGTCGGTCTCCAAGCCATTACTAACAGACGTTGCACTTCAAGTCGGTCTTACTGTTGAATTTCATTTTATATATGGCAGGTAGGACGCCAGCTTACCATGGTTCCGCCTGTCGTTCCCAGCCACCCTTCACCGATGGCAAAGGTCTTCGTCTCGCTTTTCTATCCTGTACAAAGAGAAGCGTGAAGTTCCAGCTTATCAGCTCCACTTTTTTTATGCAGGTAATAAATACCCGACAAGCTGCTCGTCGTCATAGACGTATCGTGATGCCGTCGCTTTAGTTCAATATTGATCTGACGCTGGTGATTTGGAATTGCGTTTCTAGTCTGCTCCTACCTTTTCTTTAGTGTGGCTGATGCTCCCAGTTCTGTTGTTAGGGCTGCTTTTTAACGGAGCCTGCACTAAAGAGGGTGGTACCGAGTGAACCCCGTGAGTGCCTTTCATCGGAATACATTACTGGCATACTCATTGCCCAGTACGGATGGCGCTGTGGCTTCCTGCTATGGTTGGTTGCGGCCTCGACTAAGAAAGGTGCAAACGAAATAGGTAAAACCACCCCAAAGTCTGTCGGTGTATCGATTCGACACGTGCTGCGTAGACAATGTTTGTTCTTGCATTTGCCATTTAGAACGCGGCGAGATCTGTGCCTTTATAGCGGACGGCTTGAGGCGGTGAGGTTTCGATCCTCGTTTCTTCATCCCCTAGATACCGCGGTATGCTTGTCCGCGACATAAATTTACATGGAGGGGCCATTTTTAAAAAATATGTCACGCCCGCCATCACCGCAGCGCTGTAATCTTCAAATCGAAGAATTCGCTATTCGAGATTTTGTCTGTTCGCAGGTTACGTCATTTTTGAGAATCGCTCTACTCTGAACCATAATAGTGAAGAGGAAAGGCAAGTTGAGACATCGGGCGAGCTATAGACCACTTTAGCACTATCGATTTGCACACCTTCGGTCGCAACTGCAAGCATACTTCAGTTCTGGATGACAAGATAGAGGTAAAAAAATGTTCTTGAATTACCGATATATTTTAGAGTTATGTAGTACTCAACAATAACAAATCATTGGAACGGCTATCAACGAAGTTTATATAGTAGCGTCAACAAGACACGCCGACTGACTAATTTACTTTTCTTAAACTGTATATATTGTCCTTGTAGAATAAGTCAATTTATTTTTCTATTAGAAAATAATGCGGGTCTATTATAGCCTTAGATTGAACAACACACAGCACAGTACTCCATCCGACTAAGCTAAATCAATAGATAGTGCAATCGTTAGTTAAATAACAAAGATACTCATTCCATTGATTCTAGCAACAGGTACATAAAGTTATTTATCAAAGCTGTGGGTTTCTATATCATACTAATGTATGATCAAAAATTGCCTTCAATATGGTTCAAGTACTCGTGCTTATAACTGCTGAAATACATGATTAATTTGCTGTCGAAGGCACATGAACACCCTATTTCCCACATTTTGTATAGTCCTGTGTCCGAGAAGAACCAATTCAGAGTAAAATAATACATAATTGTACACGAATACGGACAAAAACAATGAATGTTTTGATAATTTCAGTATCCCCGAGGCAAGAATCAGTTCAGACCAATTCAGATGATCAGAATGATCAGGATGACTTCGGTAGACGTAACGCACACGTGCCTGTTAAAAGTATAAGTAAGCCTCAAGGCAAATCTCCAACCTTCTCTCAATAGCGTTCGTTTAAAAAGCCCGAAGCGCCTTTCAGCGACAGCCGCTAGTATAATAAGCATCAAGCAAGAACGAAAACCAGCAGTAAACGCCAAAAAGAGGAAGTCTACTGTTTACAGCAAAGATTTGACCGCTCACGCGATTTCGAACTTTTCTGTGGTACAAAGCGATTTAGAATTGGTACGCTATGGCGTACTGGTAGGCTAGCTCCTGTGCGCCCCGTATATACTTATTTGTACAGCAAAGTACCACGCTTCTAATTTTTAAACTGACGCCTTTGACTATTTGATTATATTAGAAAATGTCTGAAGGCAAGTAAAACCTTATGGAGAACACCGGACTAATTTGAGAAAACTTTACGATCTATCCTTCATATAATTCTATACTTCTGTAATTAACTACTACAAATGTGCATTAATTCACGTCGTGACTGTCCACACGGTCACGTGTACCCAAGCATTTACTTCCCCACAACCAAACCGGAAAAGGTATTTTTCCGGTCCAGGTGAGAACTTGACCCGGTACACGGTGCGTGAAATAAAAAGTTGGACATATTGAAACTGTCGTTTAAAAGTGATCCGGTTTCCATTGCCATTACAGTGAGTAGCACCACTGTGAAAACGTCCTCAGCAGGTGTCTTCGCTTCAGGCCTCGGGGCAACGGAGCACTCTCCAATCTCAAAACTGCCGACAGCAAGTCCAACCGGCGCCACCTGTCACAGTCAGACGCAGCTTTGCAGGTCAGAACTTGGCTAGGGTATTGGACATCAATTGCAACTCAGTTACGCAGTCAACTGAACTATTTAGACTGCAGCTTCGTTCCAGTAACACAAACGTACAGGAAATAAGAGAGAGTAAGCGAATTTTTTTTTGTTTAGAGGAAGCAACACGTTCCCTGGTGTTATGTGGCGCCGAATCAGGCTCACAGTATTCTAATACGTTCCGGATGCGTGTGACATTGCGTCAAAGGGGGCTAACTAAGCAAACTTTGAACTCATGTGCTCATTCGATTCTTAACCCAAACATTCTGATTCTGAACCATGTAGATGCGCCGAAAATATATTGCATTGATGTATGATTTACGTGAACTATTAGGTGGTTACCAACAAATCCGACCGACTTCAAAATCGAACGACTTTTGAACTGCGCGCGTTTAGCAGACGAAATTTCGCTAGTAAATATTGAAGTCTGCTAGAAACTTGTGAGTAAAAAGCGACTGAGTTTATTACAGGAGAAATCAATTCAAGAGAATAAACCTTTGTTGGTTTCGAAGGTCAATGCTCAATGGTCGTTTTCATTTCTCGAAAGCCACAACGATTCGAAAATTCATCGAAGATTGGTGGAAACATCGGGCAAGGAGACCTTAGGTGAAAGCATGGGACGTGAATCCTGCAAATCTTTGAAAAACGGAGATTGGAGTGTTGAAGCCCAGCGAAGGAGTGACCAAAACGTTGGGATCCGAAGAACAAGAGCGCATTGGCATAATCGAGGAAGCTTTTCACGAAAGCAGAGCTTGCAGTTTGACGCGTCATCAGTTGGAAACGTGTGTTGTATATTTCTTGTAGAATTTTAATGAACAAAAAACCCGTCTGGAGCGTACGATCACTGCTTACGAGGCATAAATCAATTTCTATCGTGTTCGGCGTGGTTTATCGAATTTGGTGATAGAACCAACTAGGTTTAAACGTAAGATAATAGCAATGGTTACGGTGGACATCAGGTGCATGTGGCACTGCGATACGCTCCCCGAAAATGAAACAATGAATGTAACATGCTATTCCGAGTTCCTCAGAGGCACATAACCCGTTGGTACGACAATCGAAAGCACGCGCTCTGAGTACTTGATCACAATGTCAGATCTCATCGCGATGCCTTAATTACTTCCTGGACTGACCAAAGGAAGACCCAACGCTGACTTTAACCTACTTCATTTCTCAGTCTAACTCTGTCTAATTACGAGGCCTTCTATGCTCCAAAAAAAGTAACTGGTAAACAATTATATCCCATTACCGATATAACTCTGGAAGCTATAGATAGAGGAATTACATGGAGGAACGCGAACGGCCTATAGCTGTCCAGAAACTGCCAGAGCGCCGGGTCAAGTGTGTAGAAGTCAAACTAACACATATTAATCATTATTCTAGCTCGTAAGTTATTCAAGTTAGCCAAGCTTATTTTTAGTGGCCTAATGTACATAGCTTGAAAAAATAGTTGTACTGAATATGTTTTTGCTAACAATAGTGGATGACCCAGAGAGAAACAGTATTTTTGAATCGGTGTAACTTTCTTTAGAGAAAGCAATTTACGCCTTATACGCCGACTGTTTTGCATTCTATGTTACTGCAGTCTAATCAGTAGGCAAACTACTAATACGCTGCATTGCATTATTCATTACATTATTTTACGAGTCATAGTTTCTACCATCTAGTACTTCCCATTAAGAAAATATTTTATCTGTGTGAGACGATATTGATAGATAACACGATGTGATCGCTGTTTCCTAAATTATTTTTGATCATGTCAGAAAAATTTAGAGGGCTATCTCAGGCAAACTCTGGGCCTTTTAAATGATTCAAACGTTTAGTATGCGCCACTGGTGAAAGCGATAGGTGTATAACACCCGGCTTTCGTTTGTTTTGGTTAAACATGTAGGGTGTTTTATAGTTTGCAGCTTTAAGTAGGAAAAAACCTTTGCAAACAAACAACAATACCTACAGTGGCGACGTAACGACATTGCGCGATCCAATGAAGACCGCTAAAATCATAAGGGTCACAATAAAGATTTCTTCTTCCGTATTCCTTAAAATTTATCCTAGGTTATTTTACTTGTCTCTGTATTGCATCGGAATACGAAAGAATTAGTATTCAGCTAATATTGGAAAGTTCGCTAGGCGTTGGGCGTAGAATGTGTGAACGAAACGGATGGGAGCCTCTCTACATAATAACGAAACAACAATTTAATTCAAACGTTATAACATGTCTAGATCTTGAAAGTTTGAATGCAAAATAGTATCCCTACAATTAACGCTGGCCTTATAAGACCAACTCAGCATCTCAATGAGACGTTTTAGCTTATCGGTATGTTACAAATGCAACTCACGTTTGACATTACTGTATTTGTATATCTATAATGGTTATACGCGTCGAGCGCGCGTTACTGCGTCTGCTGCCGCTTCTCAGTTTGTAACGTACGAGCGCCTTCTGAACCCTAAAATATACACCACCTACCCGAACAACCTGTTATTTTATCGGTAGGCTCTGTAGGTGCAATCAACGAATGCATCGCTTGATACGTTTAGAAAACAATAGCCGAAGCGGGCCACATTGGATGGAGATCAATAGACAATTATTGTTCGTCGTCCTGGACTTCGCTATTGTTTGCACCAACATCACAGTTAAAGTTTACCGAAACAAGTATTAGTTCAATTGCCGATACTTGACTACAAAATATTATTGGCTGCTTTTACACGTATAGATATTATGGTACGCGCTATTTCAACAGATCTATTTTTACATATAGTGCTATTTATTTCACACTCTTCCGCTTGGTGGCAATTTAGAAAATTAACTAGATAAAGCAGGCGCCCGTGCCTGACGGGTGGGAAGGGGGGTAAGCTTCGATGCTGGCTAGAAAAGCGAGCTTCGGAACAACAGATCGGCTAATTGGTCTAATGTCGCATACTTCGAGAAGTAACCTTTGTTAGATGAAGACAAAGATTTATCACGTTATTATGTAGTATCAATTGTATTAAATATTGTCTCTAACAGCCTATCGACTGAACCTTTCACACAGCTGTAGAACAATAAAGTAGGATCAATGGAAATACCCATAACGTCATGAGTGTAACAAATATCGCACGTGTGTTTATTTTTTACGTATTTACAATCATATATATATATATATATATATATATATATATATATATATATATATATATATATATGTGTGTTATAAAGCGTTATGGTAAAATAAGGATACAAGATAATATTATATGGAGAAATATTGAAATTCTTTTTACAGCTTAAAAAGTACTAGAAGAGAGTGGCTACTCTGTGCATAATTATACTATGTTAAAATGCTTTCTTCTGCATTATATTATCACGTGACACATTAGCTTTACACAGAGCTAAAGAAATGCGGAAAGGCAAGATTTTCTATTTG